TGTTCCTTCCAACCCGAACAGCGACTGTTATTTTGCAATCCTTATTTGCAGTATTCTGAAAAGGATGTTGCCTTGCACCCGTGCTGGGTGCACGTGCGGTCTTCGCGCTCTTGAGAAGCATACCGTATTGTTTACTTTCACCTCCAGCACAGTGGTGTACGTAAATAAAATTTTACACAATGTAATCTTGACGCGTGCACGCCAACAAGACGCCCAACGCATGAATAGGTAAGCGTAGCGATAGGCTAATACGTACTTCTGAAAAAGCATAGCCTAACGCACCTTTGTCCAGCTTGCCACCCTTTAACAACTCTCGCAAACGATAATTGATCGGTTTGCGAATTCTGTGTAAGCGTTAACGTCAATGTGATGATTTTCTGCGGGAGTAACTGTTAGGAAGGAATGTCTCTCTTATCAGAGATCTCTTATCACTTTGTAGAAACGGCCGTAAATGTTTGCTGTACGGCTTCTAAAGTTTCCCTTTTTGTAGCTTTACGTTTTTTTAGGTTCTAGGGTAAGGGCATCAGCGTTTGATATAAACTTCACCGGGGGAATGCATTTGAGCGCTGGGAAGTGAAGTCGATTTTGACTGGAGACTTTCTTTCTCTGATTGCTGAGTTTTCCCTACTCGCATTAACTCCCCTTTCACCAGACTTATGTAATTGCCCTTTGTGTGACTGCTAAATTTGGTAAGATAGAGGGATCGCTCTAAAGGACGAAAGCGGCGGTGGGGGTGTACAAAGCATTAGACAACGGATACAGGTTCCTCTGTTTTGAAAAGGTATGCTGTAGACCTACAAACCTTTTAGGTGATTAGTCGTTCATTTGTCCTTTGTCCTTCCCTCTTGGTTCTGAGAGTCGAGCTTATTGTTGGAGAGTTTCCCATCGATGTAACTCGTCCAAGTGTCACTGTATGTCCTGAGTGGGGACAGCGGATAACTTAACGCTCCTTTTTTGATGGTAGTAGTGTGTGCTTTGGACAGAGGAAGGCATAAGATCAGGTTGCATCAGTCACGTGTTCTAGATTCGCTATATTCAGCGGGATGACATTTATATCACTGGAGCTGAGGTTAACAAGAGTGTCGTATTTGGCTTGTTTCCACGTCTTTTTCGTTAGGAAGGATGTGAGGGGAGTCGCAACGGAGGGGGAACGTGGGGAGGAAGAGGGGGGTGGGAACGAGCGGGGTCGCCAATTGCAAAAACTCTCGCCCGCGAGCAGCGGGTCCATGTAGCCAACATAAATTAATGTGCAGGTGGGCAGCTGCTAGCTACGTCACCATTGCACTGAAGCATTCACGTTGCGGCGCCGTGGTTTTGCCAGCGCCGTCGCGTTGGCGGCATTCGCCACCAAGCCTTAATCGAACTAGACGTGAGATGCACGCTTACAAGGATTAAGCGTACTAGAAGGTTATCTAAGCTAGTTTAGTGCGTTTGCGATGTGCTATGGATGTTGATGTCCCAGGCTTTGATTTCCACCACTTCTGACTCTAATTATGGGTATAAAATCTTGGCTCATTCATTAATCTCGATATGACCTCGCCCGAATACGTATTGAAACCGTATCTAGAATTTTCTACAGTAGTACGTTACTCGGGTATTCTTTAGTCCGACGAAACCAGGAAAATGTTTTAGGGTATGCTGCGAACTGTGCTGTCTCGTGTGTCTTCCCAAATTCGAGCCTCCAGCTCGATTCCTCCACCCATCAAAGATGTCAAACCGAAGTTCACAAAAGTAAGTTCCTCTGCAGAGTCATATGCCCTGAGAAACCTGGGCGAGGGAAGGCACCTAAAGGACTCCTTGTGCAAGACTGGGATTTCTGCAGCGGAGATGAGTACTTCTGCATAGGGAGAAGAGCTCCGTAGTTGGTGACTAAATTTGGGAAATGATATCTTTGTTTGAATGACTTTATTACCTTTTTCCTCCAGGGGTTCTTTGGATGCCCCTCCCTCAAGATTTTCAGCACCAGTGCCTTCAGCAGGACACCTGTTTGTTATTTCAGAAAATATCATTTTCCAGCTGTTCATAAACAACGAATGGGTAGATGCGGAGAGCGGGAGAACCTTTGAATCGGTCAATCCAGCCACAGGCCAGGTGATAACGACTGTTGCTGAAGCTGATAAGGAAGATGTCGACAAAGCAGTAAAGGTAAGGTGATCATTGATCTTGATGAAAAAAGGGAACAGTACGCAACGCATTAGAATTGATTTTGGCGACACCGCATTCTTTTCTAGAGCGCACTTCCACATGCGCTCCATAACTCGGCGTTGGAGAGGGTGTGTCCGTGGACTTATTGTTATTTATGAGTGTATCAGTAGTTGCGAAACTGTCGAATGTTGCCGATTTAGAGCAGTCGTTACCTTCGGTGTATTAACGTTTCCTTGTGCCACCTTCATTTTTAATTTTGAGAGTCGGGACACACCTAACCACCTTGTAGCGCAACATTTCCTGCTGAGTACTAACCTTCCAACAAAGAAAGTCTCGGAACGACCCCTTCCCGGAAAAAGGGATGATATCAAATAGGATGCTAGAATTTTTAAGCTAGCTCGCATTCAGATGTTCGATTCGAAGCACGCTTTTTGCCATTACTGAAACACGCTATTTCGCGAGATCTTGCATAATGGGCCAGAAACTCCAGAAGTAACCTTTTTCAAAGACCCATAAAATTCGCGTTAACAGCAGCAGAAATATCAGTCAGGAAGCAAGACCCAAGATCGCCGATTACACAAATCAGAGAGGTCATTGACGTGGGCCGCAAAACAATGTAAGCACTGTCTGATGATATATTGATAAGCCTAACACGATCAGTGATCGAATTCTTATGTGCCATAACATATGCATATTTGAGTCAAATGATAGCAACAGTGAGAAAGCCCTTTGACCATAGTTCATATTATCGTGTCACTTGTGGGCTATTGTATGTTGAAAGGGTCAGCGTGGTAGCGCGAAAAGAAGTGATCTTTTAGGTTCTCAAGCGCAGACGACGTGCGCTCTGCTAAGGCTGAACTTGAGAACCTAAAGTATCCATCTACTGGCGAGTCCCCCAAACTCCCTAGAAGCTTCATACTTTCCCGAAAAAATTGAAGACGAGTGCGGTAGGGGAAGGAGGGAGGAAGGGTCCTGTCCAGTCCAGTACAGTGGCAAGAATTTAAAGGCAGTTGGCAGCGATAAAATTGCTATAAGCATAAAACAGATTTGAAATTTATAGTACGAACTGGCGTAACTGAATTCGTGACCTCGGACAGGGTGCTCCGTGGCCGCCCTTTTTCCAAATAGGTACCCCTATAACGCCCTAAATCAAGCCACAACATTACGTCCCAAACGCCGCCACGCCCGCCCGCCCACAAATGGACGACCGTTCCTGACGCTCGTATTCATTCATTTGCTAAGCAAATTATGAATGACTGGTATGAAGCGGCGGTGATGTTGCATGCATATATGGGTACACATATGCAGCCGTACCTTCGGTAGCGGTGATTGGTAAGATGCCTACGGGAAACTCGTCCGAAATCGATTTTCAGTCACTGAGAACGGAGCCTTTTTCTTCGCCGGATTTTGACCGTTTCATTCTGTTTTGTCGCCAAATTTCCCCATAACAGCGCCCCTACTAGTGCATTTTAGGGCCGGTGGAAACATCGTGCCGAACTGACTTTAAAGGCAGTCAATAAAAATACTCGCGCGATAACAATAAGGCTCATGACCTCTCATGTTCGGAGACTATGCCGGACAGCGGTTTTTAAAGGTGCGCCTACTTGTTCAAAATGTGAAAACGGCAAGAACTCCGCTAGAAGCTGACTAATTAGGCCCATGGACACCCCTTAGGCCCATGCCGACCCTCACCGGCTGCTAGCTACTAGCTAGTAGCCACTATGTTATCTTTCCTATAACATTTCGGACTGCTTTTACTGCTGCTTTTCTCCGCTAATCAGATACTTAGCACTTTTTGTGCCTATTTGAGTTCCGTTTCCCGCAATTTGCGGTCGCGAACTGTGCCTTTAAAATGCGAAGTAGTGGACTGAATGATAGGAAAGAGCAGGGTGGCATGGACATATAGCGCTGCCAGGTAAAAGAGAGATCTCCCCTCTGTACTTAATAGCACGCCTTATTCGGGGACTCATAATCTGAGTGTCCCTACCCCTGTTCGGGTAGCTGAGCACGGCGCTGTGCCCCACTGAGCCTTGCTTGCTACGCAAATCCCAGGTGGTACTCTCTCCCTCTCTCCTCACACTTCTGCCCATGAAGAACATGCAAAAGACTAGAGAAGCTCCGCGAGTCAAACTTGGAGGCAAAAAGATTTTTTTTCAAGTACTCTCGGTGACGGCTGTGTTTCCCGCGCCCGATTTCTATGTACCCATACTCACGTCTCTGGCACTTTTTCGTGTGGACTTCTGGCGCGCGCCGTCGCCAACCACGTCCGGGTAACGTCCTTTTTTGCAGTTGCATAACAGATTAAAAATTAGTCAATTGGTGTGAAAGCGAGGAGCTCGTAGCTCGTACAGCCTTTGAGTGCCCTTGTGTAACGAATTGGTGACTATGTAGAATGTAGGAGATTATTATCACAAGAATGCTGAGTTGTGGGCAAAAGTCGTGCCCCAGGCGGGAGTCGAACCCGCACCTCACGCTTTCCGGGCGAGTGCGCTATCCGTTACGCCACCAGGGCCGCTTTTACCCTCTCAGCTTAACGGCTTTTATGCCGTAGCTACAGCACTCACACGTTTGCCGGTCAGCCTAATCGTTGGATATCGGCAGTGAACAGCGAGGCCGAAGGCTTTACAAGTTTACTAACTCTTAACGACACTTTACTTTTGCCCATAACTCAGCATTCTTGTGATAACATTTGGAACGCGTTAAACAGCAGTTATCATAACAAAACAGCTTCTGCACGAAGGATTGCGCTAAATTATCTTCCCATGATAGTGCACTTATTACTGAAGCTTTACATTTACTAACTTGTTGTTCAGGCAGCCGCCAAGGCATTCCGCCTTGGTTCACCATGGCGTCGTATGGATGCAGCGCAACGTGGCGCTCTAATGCACAAGCTGGCTGATTTGATGGAGCGAGACAGGGTTTTCCTTGCTGTGAGCCTTTTTTGTTACTTCGAATCTTTCTCCCGGATTCCTCTTCCTACGCTAGCATTCGCTAGTAAAACTGCTTTCCTCAACTTTTTTTTACAGTCGTTGGAAACATTGGATAACGGCAAACCGTACTCTATTGCATACAGTGCTGATCTTCCTTTGTCAATCAATTGTATTAGGTGAGTTTGTATGGTTTATCAAATCGTGCCGTGCTGCATTTCACGAACCACAGTACGAGCAGCGTTCTCCGCATGTGCGCTCAGTTGTTCGGGAGCGGGACACAAGGCACCACTACTATGACACCTCAGGTCTGTTCGTGCGAGGTCCTGTGGCCTCTCGCTGAGATTGAGTTCGGAACAGTTTTGAAGTGATTCCAGGCATGTTTCGTGCTGGAAGAAAGGCAGCTGTTCTCCCTTGTCGCCCAGATTCGAACCGTAGATCTTTTCCACCTCCCAGTTCTTCCCAGGGAATATGATTTTCAAAATGAACAGGATGTATTAATTGTGGGGCTGCTGATATGCAAGTGTAAGGCGAATCCGTAGGAGAAGAGTGGCTCTGAACCGCAAAAAAGTTGCGGAGGTAGGAGCAGTGAGGAAAAAAAAGATTTAATTAGTAGAGATGAAAACCACGAAAAAAAAACGAAGTGGTACGCGCCACTGGGGAAGCGTCTTTTTTACCACCTCCCACGCATAATTCAGTGTGGGAGCACTAAAATGGGTACCTGGTTCATACCACCCATTGGCAAATGGAACGTAGTCAGACTGGTCGGCGCCGTGTGACTCGAATCCGCCCTGTCCAGCCGATCCTTCCCCCCTTTATAATGACTGACTGGTCACGAGCCAATTCAGTCTACTATAAAGGGGGGAAGGATCGGCTGGACAGGGCGGATTCGAGTCACACCGCGCCGACTGGATACGACGTCTTGTAGCTACTGCGCTTCTTCCACCTAATGCCCACTATCACTGCATTTGATTCATAATTCTTTGCATTTCCTTGTACCATTGCGAAGTAGGCAGAGCTTTCTTTCTGCGATACCTCCACAGGTGAATGACGGAGAACAGTGCGTCAATAAGGTTTGCCAATGTGACTCCTAAAAAATTCTTGGTTAAGATACTATGCCGGTTGGGCTGATAAATACCATGGCAAAACCATTCCTATTGCTGGCGATCACTTCACATACACGCGACACGAACCTGTAGGAGTATGTGGTCAAATAATTCCGGTATGTTCACTTGCAGAACCTTTTCGATATCACTTTAGGAAGAAACCAGGCTGATTGTGAGAAAGGTGGCGCTCGGCCGTGTCCAAACTCTAGGCAAATAACTAATTTTCAGTGGAACTTCCCTCTTCTTATGCAAGCATGGAAGTTCGGTCCAGCGCTAGCGATGGGCAACACTGTTGTTATGAAGCCCGCTGAACTGACTCCTCTCACTGCTCTTCATGTGGCCAGCCTTGCTAAAGAGGTACTTCAAAAATTATGATTGTTTGTAAAAATTAGGATAGAGAGCTTGTTTCAGGCAGGATTCCCCGAGGGTGTCATCAACATCGTCCCAGGGCATGGTAACAAAGCTGGTGTAGCCGTTGCCAGCCATCACGATATTGATAAGGTCGCTTTCACGGGTTCAACAGAAGTCGGCCGGATTGTTATGCAGGAAGCTGCCTACAGTAATATTAAAAAGTGCGTTTTGTTGTCGTATTCAGTACTTACATGCTGCACAGGCAAAAATCTCTACTTTATTTATTTCTTTATTTTACAGGGTTACTCTCGAACTTGGTGGCAAGAGCCCCAACATCATCTTTGCTGATGCCGATCGTAAGTTTTCAAGAATTAACGGCCCTAGCGTATCTGCGGGCGAAGGTGCTAGGGGTGGAAGGGAGTACACGAGGCGAGAGTGGGCCTCGCTCGCTTTGGTCGCCTAGGCTGTCTAAGCAGGGTGCAGCGCAGAGCGCATCCGGGTGTGTGTCAGGACCTACCGCCGCGCTGAGGGTCATATCGATCGGGAGTTGGCAAAATGCCAGGTCAGGACTCACCGCCGCGCCACGCGAACAGGTCGCCGCGCGCGGTGACCTAGTTTCGAGCGCGGCGGTGACTCCTGGCCGTCCCCAGGAAGCGGTACATCAGTAAAAGGTCACGAGATCCGTGTTGCGGCGTCGCGCCGAAGGTACCGTTCCAAGTGGTGCTGTGCGATCGTACTTGTAGCGGGTATGTGACAAGAGAATCGAAATTCGCCGCGCTGATAGGCGCCGCGTGCGACGCCGCGCCCATGACGATGGTTCCAGGTAGTATATGGCGACAACAGGCAATGCAGAACAGAAAGTACCTGAATGTCTACGATGACTGGGTCTCCATGGAGTCCGGTAATCCAATCGACAGGTTAAGAGTTAAAAACGCCGCGCTCAATCACCGCGCGTGGCCGGGGTGGCTAAGATCCGGAATCGGTCTTTACGTCTCCCCTTGCTGGCGTTTGCTTTCTGCGAGCCGCAGTGAATGCTGAATGTAAGGCTGCCGTTATATACTTTTGCCGGCCCCAGTGTAGCGTAGCGCAGCGTACGCCAGCGGCAGTGCCGGGAGAGGATGGATATCGATCTAGCGTTCCCAGCGTCACCAGCGTAACGCTAGCGTTACGCCAGCGTTTCGCCAGCGTTTTGCTAGCGTTTGCAGCGGCAGGGGAGTAGAGACTATGGGAGAGCTGGAGGGTACAAAACACATCGATTTGCGCGTCTCTCAACTTCGGCGCCTCAGTCTCTATAGTACCACATCGATTGCGCGTCTCTGACGGCCACATAGTCTCTACTCCCTGTGCCGCTGCAAACGCCAGCAAAAACGCTGGTGAAACGCTGGCGTAACGCTAGCGTTACGCTGGTGACAGATGGGAGGTCGCTAGGTCGATATCTATCCTCTTCCCGGCAGTTTCCGCTGTCGCAGTACGCTGGAGCCTACCCTAGCTGCGCAAAGTGATGAACGCTCAGCCTAATGCCGCGAGCTATAACTTGCCGTATTCGGGCGCGCTGTTCACAATTCGGATGTCCTGGCCCTCACAGAAGTTGTGCTGCTCTGCTGTCAAAATCTCATTCGTTTTCGTGATACTGATATTTGCATTTCAGTTGATGAATCGGTCCATCAAGCACATCATGGCCTATTCTTCAATCAAGGCCAATGCTGCTGTGCAGGATCTCGCGTCTTTGTTGAAGGAAAAGTAAGTACGACGGATTCCAGTACTAAGCTAATTGGGGAAAGTCGAACCGGGACTAGGCCACTCTCACTATGGTCATCCGCGCTCCTTAACAAGAGTGAGCGTAGACAAGGCTAACTGGGCGAGAAGGCGCAGACGAGCAGGCTTCGTCGCGCCTCCTCCCTCAGCATTACCCGGCCCCTAAATTATTCAGTCTGGCGCTGAACATAGGGAGGCGGAGGGGCATTAGCTAGCGATCCAGTATCTCTTACATTAGGCTCTAGGGCCTGCGCGGGAATAATTGGTTGATTCTTGTGGGACTATCCCTCAGGTCAACTCTGGTTGGAGAGCTTTATAGGGAAGTAGGTAGAGGCAGGCGTTATTCGTGTGACCGCCCCCAAGCAAGGTGTTAGCGCCTTCAATTCACTTGCTTCCTTAATGTTCGTTGCTATTGCAGATCTACGATGAATTTGTTGCCCGATCCAAAGCACTTGCCGAGAAGAAACGACTTGGTGACCCATTCGATTTCAAAACTGAACAGGGGCCTCAAGTATGGATATTTTGTCTAATTGGTTTCTAGACATTTTCTTATCTGTTTCATATCGTACGCGCGTTTTATCTGTGCATCGTTGTGGTGGCTTTTATCAGTGGCGATGGAAGAAAACAGCTTGAGAACAATAGAGCGATTATGGGGGCTGGGTAAGAAAGGAGGGCGCCCAACTGGTCACCGGTAAGCACAGCTTTGACTATTTGCTGAAGACCCTTTTTCATAGTACTCTCGCCTTCAACGCCTCTGACACCTCACTTGCGAGGGCTAACCTTGTCCTTTTTATGCAGAGTACAGTATCGAGCTAGATGAAATGGACCACTTACGTACTTGCCATCATCTGGCACTACCCCCACTCCCCAATTGTAGTCCCTCACCATCAATCCGGACTTTCCTCACTTTCTCTCAGTCTCCTGCAGATAATTTTTCCAGTTCTCCCCCAGGAAAGCTGCTCGCGTCGACATGGAGGGGCATAGCGGCCGCTGCGGTTAAGGCAGGATATACAGGGGGGGGCCAAAAAAAGTCATTTCGGCCGAGCCACATATCAACGAAGTTTTCGCAGCCCAGACAGGGGAAGTGGATATGAGTACCAGAGTGGAAGATACCCAAGATCTTCCTCTATAAGCTGGAGCACGCTGCCGCCAATCGCCTTCATGTACGCCAAAATATGAAGTCATCTCCAGTCGCGGCCTGACTGGAGAACACCTTTGGAATTCACGTCGCCTCCAAACAGCTGCGAAACTTCTTGAATGAAGTCATCCACAGATAGCTACCTGGAGGTCAGTACTCTTGACCTGCAAGACCTCCCACATCGACCAGCTACGGCAACGTCGCTACGGTCTATACGAATCATCTTCGCCGTATTCGCCGAGGCGCGAGTTGATGGTATGGACCGGGGTACCTGGAAAGGGGAAGACCGATATTTTCTTTGTAGACCCCGACTGAAGGTGAGCGCTGGCGGTTACATCAAGTAACTCGAGAAGAATATCCTCCCTACATGTGGTCGCCCGTACCTTCTTGGAGACCTTGTGCTGCTACAGGTTTGGGTGCCACCACATGGAATCAAAGGGTTTTGGAAAAACTCCCGCCTACTTGGAATGGAAGGGGGCTGAATACCTAAAGAAGAGTAGAATTATCCAAGTAGCTCGTCACCTCTGTACTTGTATCCCCTCAATTACCCGGTTCGGGCGGAGTTCAATAGGGTGGTCTACGGTGGCGGAGAAATCAACGATCTCACTCAGCTCCGGTACCCACTCACTTTCGCGCGGCTGAATCTCTCGATGGCGCTCCTCCAGAAGGCTGCGGCGGAGTAACATTATAGTATTTAATGTGCTCTTTAATATGGTAGTAAATATCGTCGATCAAAAATATTATATAAGTGTAACTTACTAAGCGCGCTGAAAGATCATGGCAGACCAAAATGACTTTTTTTCGGCTCCCCCTGTATGTGCCGGTAGCCCTTCAAAATTGAAGTTGTCTAGTTGGTTCCGTGAGGTGTGATGCGCGCCAGCCTAAGTAAGCGGAGTGATAGTGCCACAACTTCTGTGGACGAATAAGAAAACCACAGAATATCCCGTAGGAACAAGTCACGTTGAAAAATGAATATTGGCAGTTTTACGAGCGACGGGGGTATTTTGCGCTGCATCTGCACCAGTACAGCCATTTCTATGACCTCACAAGGGTTGAAAGGTTTCATCATGGTAGCTCAACTACTTTAGCTCAACAAGGGTTCGCAGGCTTACCAGCGTGAAACCTGAAAACCGGAATTAGGGCAGCGCGACGAAGTGCAACACATGTGCCCCCCCCCCCCCCTCACCGAACAATATTTATAATATTTGTCACATTATATAATATTTGTCTCGAAGCCAAACAGGATCTACCATCCTTGTCAGCTAATAAACCCCTGCACTTCCTGCGATGTAAGTTCTTCTCGCTTTACTCTGTTTCCAGTTCATGGCGGTAGGAAGGACAGGTGAGCAGATCTGGAAAGGTGTCACCTCAGTCACATAGAAGAGTGTATCAATGAAGCACAGAACGTATCAATGAAGCCGGAAGTTTGGGCTAGCCGAGTGTTCTTTTGTATCTCCCCCGCCCCCCTCCCCTACTCGTGACATGACACCCTGTCGCACGTTGTTTTTATGTCCATCTAAAGACCGGTGCTGCCCCAGCCAGACGCTAGTGTTAGCAGACAAGTAGTGCGCCTGGTATGCCTAGGTGTATGGCTGGTCGCACGGCGTGTTTCGTGTCTGTGGCGTGTTTCACTTGCGCTCGTGAGGTATGATGATTACATGCTTCAGAACACGTTATTTCATTCTCCTTTTTTCAGGTGGAAGAAAATGGGGAGACAAGGGTTTCTACTATGAACCGACTATTTTCGCTAATGTTGAAGACAAAATGACCATCGCTCAGGAAGAGGTAAGTCTTGGGAGGCATCATTTCTTTGATGCTTTACAAATCCTTTGAGAATTGGGCACTATTGGGTACTAGTTATGGCAACTTCTTAGATCCAATATTGATGTGTTGAACTGTTGACGGTTTTCTCTCTAGATTTTCGGTCCAGTGATGAGTATCTTACGGTTTGATACCATGGAGGACCTTGTACACATAGCAAACAATACAGTTTATGGTTTGGCAGCTGCTGTGATGACAAAAGATCTCGATAAGGCACTTCATGTTGCCAACAGCATCAGGGCAGGAACAGTTTGGTAGGTGCTTGTAAAAAATAATGTCATA